GAGAGAGAGAGAGATAACATAAACAATCCTCTAGCGTAACCTAATTTATTCAATTAGTATTTCGTCTCACATAAACTTTATCCAATGCATACAAGTGAAAAAAGTTTTGATATTTAAAAAAGTTGAAAAAGTTTATTTGCACAAGAAGAAAAGTATATTTTGTTTTCGTTGTAATGACTTCCAGTATTATTTTTCTTTTATTGATGAGGATGCTTTTTTTTTAACAAATGATAATAAGAAATGAAAGTCTTAGCGTCAAATTCTGAACTAGTTTTACAGGGACAGTCCTCTATAAATCGGCAAACTTCAAATTTTTGCAAGATATCTAAAACAATCAGATCTAATGCTATATATCATTTGAAAAAAAAAAAATGAAGGCATCGACCTTCATTTGTGGTTAATAATAATGGTTGTGACGAATTTAATAGTAATGTCATCATTTCGGCTAAAATTTTCAAATAAGATTGAGGAATTAGAAAATATTGCGCAAATGTCATTTCCATATTAAAATACAAATTATTGTGTTTTTGCTTGAATTGTTTAATTCAGGTTGCATTATTTTTATTGATAATTTTAACTTTTTTACCTTCCTGTTTCAGATATTGTCATTTTTTTTTCTTTTTTTTTTTGATAACATTAGTTGTAAAGGAATTTAATCATTGGATGAACACTTCGGCTATTTTAAATTCAACTGTTATGCAAATTTAATTTGATTTCATTGGTTGCATTTCCATCTGTTACATTTTGTTGCAAATCATACTGGCAGTAATTCTATTCAATTTATTATTGAAAAAGATACTGTACTTATCAAGAATAATTTCATAATAACTTTCCAGGAATGCATCATTCTTCTTACTGAAAAATAATGCCAAATGAAGCTCTTTTCTTTTTGTAAAGTTTCGCTGAAAGATTAACATAAAGATTGTTATCACTTTAATAAAAGTACAACAACATACACAGTAAAGATATTCATTCTATGTACATTTTCTAAACATCATAAGTTTAAAATTATGTCACCATATCATAGTGATAAAAAGATTGGACAATTATAAGATTATTGTCAACCCAATTAAACTCAACTAATTTCACTTACGTCGAAATTTTTGCACATAAATGACTTGTTTGATAAATTAAATTTCACAAATAATTACTCCGCATGTTTCAGTCTTTATTTTTCTGTCAATTATCATATCATTTATTGATGTAACGATAACATCAAAAACACCCTATCAGTACGAAGTATGTATCATTTCCTTTTCTTCAAGTAGAACATCAAATATCTGCTTTTAAACATTTCTTAAATTTTGGAAAAAATTTTAATTCAATTTTCCTTAAATTTAAACATTTATTCCTAAATTTAAGAATACATTAAACGTTTAAATGTAGAGATAGGTGACTTGAGACAGCAGTAAATCAAAAATTTCCAAATAAAAACGTAAATTTGCAAATGAAAATGTCACAGTGTGTGACAAAAATTTTTTTGCAATCCTTTACAAAGGCTTCGGAGATTATCAAGCGAAAATGCATTCAGTCTTTCATAGGCATTATTATAATAAAATGACCAGACAGAATACTAATTATACGATACATATCAGTTTGTATTATACATATATATATAGTACCACCGTATCCATCATGCAAATAATCAGATTACTTTTATCAAAACTAAGCGGATTAATTGTTGAAAATTTTACAGGAATAACCTGCTCTGTCACTTGCAAATCTGTCATTTATCAATATTCGATTAATTTTCTTCCAATAAATTCCATCTTTTTTTTTGCAATCATACTGAAAGTTGCATAAGGAATTGCATAAAATGAAGTCAGATAATAATTGTTTGCGCAAATAATTTAGTTATTTTTATTGGATACATTTCAGAAATTTGAATAATTCATAAATTTCACTAACACCAATAGGTTTGTCTCCTGTAAATGTCTCCCTTTACTTCATAACGAATTGGTTGTTTACATCATATCAGGATGATTGAGGTAAGTAAATTATGAAATAAATTAAATTAAGAGGAAAAATTGAGGAAATGAAAAAGTAAATTAAATAAATTAAGAAAAAAAAATCAAAACAATAAAATTTATATTGGATGATTGTACAGCAAAATACATGAATTGTAGTATTTTCATTGAACCTATTGAAATTCATAGGAAGTGTTATTGTTATCAGAACATACTCTCTCATTTGTGCATTTCGTTTCACTCTTTCATAACTTATCTTTCTTATCACAATAACAGTTATACTGTAACGAATCAATTATATTTCCTGTTTTTTATAGTGTTAATAAGATTGTCATAAGAAAAAAAGAAGTGCATGAAATGAGATGCCATTATGTTAAATATATAATTATTCCATACTTTATTTAAACAATAGTAAAGTTTTTATTATCACTAATATCAACACCTTTTGCTTTTTTTTGATATATGAATACGAACAGTTTCATCTTATAATTTTAAATTTAATTAATTAACTTTTTTTTTGTAGCATCCATTTCAATGTGAAATTATTTAATAAATCATTTTTGGAAGTAATAAATAAGCATTGTGGAAATTTTATTATAAAATTTGACGGCAACGAATTATTTTAAAAAAGATCGTTAAAAAAATTTTGCTGAAAATAAAAATCAGAAGTTTCTTTTTTTTTCTCTTCTATTTTGTCCGTCCAAGTTTTTCTTTAAGCTTTACTACCCAATGCTCGATCGGAAATGATACGTTGAGGACAAACATCTTGTGACAATCTATCCGATACGAGACATGTGCCTGATTATTATATTTGGCTTACGATTCCAGTTATTCGGACTATAATTAGAAGCCAAAATTATATAATTTTACTGTTCCATTCAAACCGAGCAAAATATTTGATGATTTTACATCACGATAAATAATAATTTGCAAGCAAATTTTTAAATTTCAATAGCACTTCTTGAAGGTTATTGAACAACCCATTCTTCAGATAATGGCGCTCATTTTTATTTACTAGTCCTAGGCTAATTTTAGTGAATAATATATAGCATTAGCCTAACAAACAAAGAAAATGAAGCGGTCCAATGGGCGGTATCGTTTGCTTTTTACGAAAGATTCATCTAAAGCCGTAAATAAAATTCTAAATTTTCAATACGCATTTTTATCAGGAAAATCTTCCGGAAAAATATTTGATTTCATCGAACAGATTGGAACATACAAAGTTCATATCCATGGATGTTTCTAACAGTTGTCTCCCCCTTTCAAATACTGAAACAGAAAAAGTTGAATTTGAATTTTTACAATTTCCGGAGCTCAATTACTTTTCTTTTGTCACTTTTGTTAATCGATGATGACAAATTAGCATGTACCCATCATCAATTAACAAACACGCATTCCCTCTACCTGAAAAGCCAACAAATATGCATCGCACATTATTAACTTATCATACAAATTTATGTTCTCTTTGTCTGAAAAACCAATACATGTACATTTGCGCATTATAATTTGTCACAAATGCGCATTTGCATTACTTCAAAAACCAATAAATGTGTATTTGCTCATTTGAATTTGTTACTAAGTTTGTGTTTTTTAAAAAGTGAGACACGCGGATTTGCATGGTCTGAAATGGTCTGAAAGACAGACGTACATTTGCGCATCCTTTAACTGTTACAAAAACGCGTTTGCCTTTCTTCAAAAAACAGTGGATGTCTTTTTGCGCCACAGTACTAACTTATATTTCAGCAGTGTATGCGCTTGAAAAAGAAACACAACAGTGCTTAAATGAATTAGAATATATGAAGGAATTTGTGAACCTTTTGATTTGTATTTACAGATTGTCGAAGGAAAAGATGTCAAAAATTTGTGTTTGCTTCAGAAAAAAAATTGAGATTTCAACGATAAATGCGACAAATATAAATAACTAGCCGAAATATCCGACTGGTTACGGTAAGTTCAAGTTAAAAGGTTGGAATAATTTCAATGCTTCTTCTCTAGCAAATAAATCAAAACTATCATTAATTATTACTGGTTGAGTCTTTTTTTTTCATAATCATTGTTCGATTGTTTCCTTCTGGGAATACCACCTTCATACGTAAATATTCTAAAAATACAGTAACCAATTGATGAAACAATGCCGAAAGACTAAATTCCTTCCGGAGATGCGGAAGATTCATGTTAGATTGCATCTCTTAATGCCTTGCCATTATCAGTGATACAATCGTAACTGACGGACAATTCACGATGAAATTTGATTTAAACATACCGCCAGAAAGTCTCACAAATGTTATTGTTTATTAACAACACAGAATGTTTATTACATATTAAAGGATGGCAAAAAAAGCCTGGAATGTTTTGATCAATTCTTTTAGTATTCATTTACTGATATGGTAAAGTTAGTTTAAAGGATTGATAGGCTCGAAATTTCACTTTGGTTGCAAATTTTTCAAAATGAAACTTCAAAATTAATGCAAATTATTTCCTTCTAATATCAAAATTGGTGATGGTAAATTCTAAACAAAGATTTGCGACATCTAACTTATATTTTCCTAGAAATATTGTTTAACCCGTAAAAAAAAGTACACGAGAATAAATATAGCATCATAATATGTGTGGCCAAGGACTAAAAAATGGGCAAATGAAAGATGAAGCCTGAAAATAATTGCTTCATTGTTGCAGTAATTAGCAGTGAATGCGAAGTGAAAGAGAAAAACGAAAAATACATAGGCAGAAAGATATGTAAATGGCATTGATAGGGGAGGAAAGTAAAGAAAAATACTTTAAATGAATACATAATCGAAATAGTAATTTTTACTCTTCGAATAACTCTTACTGTTGTACAAATTGCAATCAATTAAAGTATCCCATTTGATAGTCCATGTACGATCACATGCTGCATAGTATGGCCATGCTAACTCATTGATCTCATTTAAGAATTTCCTAAAAGTTTAAATTTAAATATTAGTAAAATTCAAATTAAATTGTATTCGAGAACAAACTTCGAATTTCAACATTTAATAAATATCTTAAGAGTGATTGTAGATAGGACATAGTGGGGTGAAATAGTACACAAAAAGAAGCGAATCAATACTCTAGGATCTGAAATATTTCCCCATTTTTTAATTTATGCAATGATTCATTGTTTCAGATATCAGATGAATGCTTCCTAAGACTGCAAAATAGAAGCATTGACCTTTAAAGTCAACAGATGTTTGGAATAGTAAACTTCAAACTGAGCAAAAAATTTGATAAATTACCAATCTGTCTTATTTCCAGGTATGCAAGTGTAACTTTGTGGTGACACATCTTTGTGCTGCAACAATACATAGTCGTAATATAGTGTATGATGAGGATTCTGGCGATCATTTTCATATTCCATCCTCACTTTCGTTGAAATAGCCTGGACAAAATGATCATTTTTAGAGCAACTGTAGATCCGTCTTGCAAAATTTACGACAAAGTTAGATGGCTTAACGTTTCTGAAATAATTTGAATAGTTTGGTTAAGTCATGTAAAATTAGCAAAATTTGAATTTATGAGTTCAAAAAAATCACGAGATTTACCAGAATTTGTTTTCCGGTTAATGTTATTCGTGTTTGCCAAATGCCAGCTTCTTGTCTGTTTAGTCCAGTTTTGAAACCGCCATCCTCCCAAATAGGTTTGCATGTATATCTTAATTCTGATGTACTCAAATACTCTTTTTGATTTGTTTCAATGCTTGTTTGGATTGTTTTCTGAGATGACGAAACTGCTACGCAAACCTGAAATAGAGTCCTTTTGGTGTCGCTGAAAATACTTCAGGCTATTTGCAGATTAAGTGCCTACGTAGATATCTGCGCATAAGACTGCAGTACAGTGCAGACGGATACTACCTAGCCAGGTATACATTTGGTTACCTTTTCTCCCTTACACTACTCTCACTTACTTTTACAATAATCTAATACTTTAAACTGATAAAAAGTTTGATAATTTTGATAAAAGTTAAAGTAGTGTAGTAAGGCCAAAAACATACATGGCTTATTTCGAATGTTATCTGATTATTGCCAAGCCCATGCACAGATGATAATAAGATAACATTTAGAACGAATAATGATGTCGTTAAAAGTAACGATGCTATAAACAATGTCCAATGAAATCCTTGCGAAAAAAACCTGCAAAAACATTATTCATTTAATACTGTCATTTATTTTTAACAATCCAAACAATTGGAATACGCTTTTATCAGTTATCAATCATATCGATTAATTAGAGCGTTATATTCCAAAATGTGCCAACATAAAATGTGTACCTGACGAAGGAACTTGAGCATTTGTGACGATGATAAAAACTTCTTGAACTACAGATATAGTGATAACAGCATGGTGCACAACAGGTCACTATTGATAACATGTATATAGAGAGCGTTAGTAAAAATGTTAAAATAACCTTCAAAACAGGTGTTAACAAGAATCGAAGCTGAAACAAAAATTTAGTTTACTTCAAATTTATCTTGATATAATATGATTAAATTCACTAAAATGTTCATTACTTTTGAATGTTTCCAAAATATTTGAACGTTGAAAATAAGTATTTACACCTTGAATAGAGCATTTTGATGTCGTTGCTTGTCGAATTTCACAGGTAGAGTTTGCTGTTCGTGATTACCTTCTAACATTGGTCCATAGATCCTGCGAATGCTGTATCGGACAGGCCAAAGTTCATCATAATCTTTCAAACGTCCTCCATTCCTCAAAGTTATGAAATTTCAGATGTTCTCAAATTAACTTTCCAGTAGAGAAGATTGATCTAATACTTTATAATGAACTATTTAATCGATGAAAATGAATCTGCTTAAGCATTCCTTCACCGGCTTTTCTTCTGGTATGGAGGTTAACCATTTATTTGATTTTTTATTTTTCGGCCTTTTATTTATTTACTAATATTAACCCTTTATTAATTTATTCTTCGTTTTTTATAATATTTTTTATGCATTTCACTTAATTAACTGTTTGTTTTTAATTTATTAAAAATTTATTTGTTTACTTATCCAACAATAAAATGTTATAAACAAATACTTTTGGCTTAGATTAAGTTTGAATTGTTCGCAGATTGTTGGTTGTCTTGCAATTGTATCGGCACGTGATAAAGGTTTCAAAGGGAATATCATTCGGCGATATGCAAAATATAACATCACCAAGCGCCACAGAATACTTACAGTTGTCGCCGATGATGATATTATCAGGGGCCATTGAAGAATCTAGAAAGTTTTTGTTTAAAATTCCAAAATTTTAGTGCGAACCACAATTTCTACTAAAACTTCGTATTTCTCAGGTCATATTTAACTAATTCTTTTATAAATCTCTTCAGATAGATTAATTATCATCAGCTTATCGACTGATCGAATGAGGTTATTTGATCAATTAATATTAACTGATCAAATTTGGTTAATTTGGTTAAAATTTGAAGCTCTATAAAGCAGTTTGAAAGATCTAACTAATTTAGTTGGTTAAAAAAACCTGGGATACCCTGAACTTGGAGAATTTTTGAAGCGATAATGATAAGATGTCCAAGTATGTTAATGAAAAAAGAAACAGACCTGAGGACCAACACATCGACAGGAAGTGATAAAGATAAAATTTATAATTGTCAAAGGCATATCATGAAGAATCATAAATAGGAATGCTATTCGAAAATTGTTAAATGCCTGAAAAACTTCCCTGCGTTGAAGAAATTTTTGCCACAGATGGTATAACTTCACTTTGTGGCCTTGTGGCCAGATTTTCATGATGACCATATTGGTCTTCTATTTCTTGGCCCTATTGTTTAAATTTTCGGTCAGCAATGCAATATATTTTTTATTGTTACCTATATAATTTGTTACAACATTAAGTTACTTCCTTTAACATAAATGCTATGAATTTAAAAAAAAAACCTGAACCCATTGTACAAAGGCTTCATAAATAATAGCAAAGCCACTTCGATATGGTGCTATATCAAGACGATAAGCAAATGCATTTTCAACACATAATACCTGAACTTTCGGTAAAGATCAAAGAAAAATATTGAAAATGGAAATGGTAATTGTTTGGGAGAGGTTCCTCCTTAATATCAATATTATTTCATTCATATAAAATCTAACTAAAGCATTTTTCCGGATTATAAATATCAGTTTTATTGATGTATTTGTTTACTTTAACTTTAATTCATTGCTTTTGAACAATTAATAATAAAAATATTATTTGTTAAATTTTTTGTTTTTATTTTTTGCAAATTCCGGAACAAACTTATTGTTTAAGGTTTCTTATTTCACTTATATTATTACTATTGGGTTTTAGTCAAGTGAAATTCCATGTAGTTAGATTTAAAACGATGGAATAGAATAAATTTAAAGTCTGTTCATAAGAAACTTTTGTAAGTTATATACTTTTCAAGGTTAGACAAATACAAGAAATGCCAGTAAGTAATTAAGTAAGGAAGAGATTTTAGCTTGGGTTATGGATAACATTCGCGTAGTTATGATGTAGCATGGCTAGAAATTGAATGCGATAACGCAAATTTCTAATGAAAAGAATAACTTGGCTATGTTGCAAAAGGACATAATGCTTTGCTTGGCCCAATGAGTTGGTCCAAATCTTTTAATATTTAAAATTTCAAATAGATCGATTATAACAGAGGGAGTAGCTATAATATAATAGATATAATAGAAGAAATACTTTAAGATTGAAAATCCTTTTTTTTTTGTAAATTTATTTGTATATATAATGTCAATACACTGAAATTTGTTTATTTTTCAAGCTAACATTATTTTTTTTGTTTGGTAATATTTTAAAATAGATTGCATTACTGTTACTCTGTTAATTACCGCTGTTACTCTATTAATTAATTATTGACTTTATAAATTATTCACACTAAATTTCATCAATTTTATTCTCAATTATGAGTAGTAAAATTATGTTTTATAATTTTGTGAATTTTTCTTTTTCGCTGTTATCATTTATTACTAATATTTTAATTTTCGTTATTATTATTAAATGAAATAATTAACCAACCAGTAAAAGTGATGTTAACATCGAGCCAAAAACAGTTGTGGAAACAAGTGCCACAGCAAGCCAAGTCTTTAATGGAAATGATGTGACATAACCTCGAAGAGTGAAATAGACGAAAAGCCAATCACATAAATCGGTAATCGAATAGATGATAAAACTGATCGCGTACAATGCATGCATCGTACGACCTAACATAATCTTTTTCAAATTCATTTTTATAATGGGAAAATTAATCCCAATATAATTAATATCATTATTTAACTTATTTTTGATTATCATATTGCACTATAAAGCATTGATAATGATAACAACGATTATTATCATTATCATTTTGCTTAACTATTTGATACAATACTCTTCAGTTATGATAATAATTCTTTATTTCTTAAATTTCTTTGAAATATTTTACCTATTACTGATTATTAATTCTTGAGATCATCTCAGCAAATCAATTTATTTATTTGATATTATTTCATTATTCTTTTTCTATTCTCATCATTTCTGTTAATCTTTTTTTAAGAATGCAAAATTTTTGAAATTCTAATTGCTTAATTATTTAGCCCTAATAATTAGTTGAATTTGCTTTAATTAAAAGTTTTCCTTATACATATTTTTTAGCTGCTTTATAAATTCTGTAGAATCTACATCAAAATGTCCCATATAATAATAATGGGACGAAACAAAGATTGACAAGCTGTGACTTTTTTTTCTCCCCCCCCCCCCAAGGTTGGAATCATTATAATGCAAATGATGATAATTCTAATCAACTTAGGAAAAAAAAAAGTCATGATTCCTCTTTTTTTTCTTTGAATTTTTT